TTAAAAAAACAAATAGCAATGAGACAGTTTCACATAGTTTGTTTCTCAATAAAATTATTAAAAAAACAAATAGCAATGAGACAGTTTCAAATCCAATTTTTAGCACAGTTTCAATAATTAATACATTGCATATTGTTTTCTTAGTAGTTATTCATTGTACAAGATGCAGACATGATATCCTGTCCACAAACACTATTGGAACAAATCTCTCTAATCACTGAATTAAGATAATGCAGCTGTAAATCTATAGTAACTATTCTTAATATACAGATACAAAATGGTGGTTCATTTGTATCCAATTTTTTTTAGTTTTGTCAGAGAAGGCTATTCCATTGTCATTTAAATATCAAGTCAACAACTTCTGACATTGCCAGTCTTACAGAAATCCCACTACTTTTATGGACTATTGGACTATATTGGAGTATTTTGATGAATTCATGAAATACCTTTTTTCTTATAAAATAAATATATAACCTCATATATTTATTCTTAGTATTTTTCATCCCCTATTTGACACAATTCAAGATCAGCAGCTCCTGAATATGTTAAAATATGCCTTATTTATATTAAATTATTACTGAAGATTTTAATTATATATTTTAATCACCAATATAACTTTATTTGTTTCATTATTTAGAAATCCTTGAATCCAGATCTATATTTGATTTTGATGACTTTTTTAGAGAGCTCTAAACTGCTATTCCTCATGCTTCAGAGTAAGAAAAATATTTGTCTTTATTTTCCATAATAAGATCTTCTGAAATTAACTTTATTATGCTTATAAATCTGAAATTTTTTTCTTATAAAACTTGTTAACCATAACATATGAAACTCATAGAAATTTGCAGGATGCTTATAATTTTTCAGAACTGAGTTCCTAACAACTTAAAAAAAGATGAGTAAGATGGAACCATGACCTCTGTTGTTGTGAATATAGAAAAGAATAGTTATTGCATATGAAATGGAAAATATGGCAAATATGAATAAAAGTATACGATATTATTTATAATCATGCTTGAAACTTTCTGCTCTTCAGTTTGATCATAAAAACTATACACAAAGATGAATAAAGTATACATGTGATGCTAATTTTCTTATACTAGCTACATTGCCTTATGTAAATCCTGTAGGTAAGTTCTTGCCCTGATTAGCCGTGTAATGTCCTAGCTTGATTTCTGAAACCACTGCTCGAGTGTCAGACATTTAAGTAGACTGATTTTTTAAAAAATAACTATATATGTGTTCCCAAACAAGCATACATTCGACGTATTTTGCTCTCTTCATATTCACTTAGTCTGGAGACATTGAAGTAGAATTTGGATAAAAGGTCATGAGTCCTTGAAATGATCTTGATATGCTAATGCATCGGGCACCTCTCCTACTAGAGACTTATGGAAATGATCTTTGATGCTAGCCAGGTGTGATGACATATGTCTACAAAGGTCATTAGTATATCCATTAGGAAATCCCTTTAGCATTATTGCTTAATATGAATGTATTTTACATGGCTTTGATTATTGATGAGTTAAATGGTATTTATAAAATTATTGGGTGAGATTATTTGGGGCAGTTAACTATATAAAATTTTTGTCCTCTTTTTATTAACTTTCATTGTTTTCTTAAGGATCTCTCTCTCTCTCTCTCTCTCTCTCTCTCTCTCTCTCTCTCTCTCTCTCTCTTTATTTTTATTTTGCGGTACTGGTGATCAAACATAGGACCTTGTGCTTGCCAGGCAGGCACTTAGGCTGTTGAGCTTTATCCCCAACCTTTTTCTTCTTTTTTCGTGGAGTTGTCTCTTATAAGCATTTTGTCACTGAAGTCTTGCTGCTTATATTTTCCCAGTTTCCTTCTTGTTTGATATATTGTTTCTATTAATTTTTAATTGTTGTCTTACTTTTAGCATATATACATATATATGTATATATATGTATATATGCACAATTTCCTTTTCCTTTATGAGTCCATTCATTATTTTAATGCTCTTTTATTTTCTTGTGGTTTACTTTATCTGATCTACTTGATAAAAATCATAGTAGACGTCTTGGTTTTAGAATAAAATAACTTACAAGAGCTTTTTATTCTTATTTTCGGTATAGGTACTTTTTTATTTCATTATGTAAAATTTATTTAATGCTAACACATTGAAATTTTTATTGAAATGCAATGGAATGATATGTGCCAAAATATATAAAAATCTTACATCTGCTTGACCTATCTTTTAGGGATAAGGAGGTAAAGAAAGGCACTGTTTATCATTTGGGATAGGTACACATTTATTTTTTTTTTCATTTTATTTTAAAGAATAAAGGCTAATAGCAAAGACAAAGACAAAAACAGAGTAACAAACAATAATACGTACATAGTACAGACAAGACAAAAATAAAAATTGGACAATGGTTACTGTAGTACATATTTTCAATGTCAAATCTTTGGTTTGGATTAATAGATATAGGTGTGCAAGACTGGTCAAATAATTAACCATTAAAAAGTAAAAAAAATAAAGAAATTAAGATTTAATGTAAAGTTTTATTTTTTTTAAATTTGGGGCTTATTCAGATGAACCTTGTTTATTTTTGATATGTCCTGTTTCTGCTTGTCATTATTTATAGCATGTGATTATATTCATCATGGGGAGTTGAGGCAGGCACACAGCACATACAGGTCCTACATTTTTCTTATCCACTCTTTTCATTTCCCTTCCTTTTCCTCTCTCCCTCCACAAGAAATTCAAAAAGGAACGATGGTGCACAGGCATACATTTGATAGGCTTGTCCTGAAATTTCAATCATTTATTTATTTATTTTGAGATCACAGTTTTATTATCAAATTCAATTGTAATATACTATGAAGATCATTCTAAGGCTAGAATACTAGGATAATTTGATAAAATTGGTGCATATAGCTTTGTAGATCCGTGCTTTTCATGCAAGTGAGATGGAGAGATTTGTTCTAATAGTGTTTGTGGACAGGATATCAGGTCTGCATCTTGTACTATGAATAACCGCTAAGACAACAATATGCAATGTATTAATTATTGAAACTGTGCTAGTAATCAGTTTTGAAACTGTCTCATTGCTATTTGTTTCTCAATAAAATTATTTTAAAAAAGAATAAATATGAATAAAAGGACCAGGATGAAAAAAAATAATCAGAAAAATAGAGAGATGGAGATTTTGCCCCAGAAATTGTGCTGACTCAGCGTTCCTCTGGGTGGTCCATTTAGCTCCAAGCAGTAGCAGCTGCGGTGTATTTCGGCCCCTTTCAGAGTTTATCAGTATTATGCAGCTGCTGCCTTTCCCAAAAGGAAGTGCCAAAGGGAAATAATGAGATTGTACAGAACTCCAAGAAGTTAGAAACTTTCAATGCAAAAATCAGAGCTAAGAAAACACGGAGGAGAGGAGAAGGAACCGTCCAAAATCCCACTCAGTCTTATTGCTTATTTACATAACATTACCTAAACGCTTTGCACTGAAGTTTTTTCTTTGAACGATCGCCCTGTCTGAAAGATGCCAGCGCCCAAGTCTGTTTCGTTCACGGGCTGGCACTGCAGTGATAACTCTGGAGTACAAAGCCCGCGAAGGCTTTCCTGTCTCACTCTGAACTTGGACTTCAGACGCTTCGACTGACAGCAACGCGGTGCCAAGGAAGGGGCAGCGCACAGCACCCAGCGGGGAAAATAACAGACAGGACTTCTTGGCTTTTGCATAAACATACCATGCAATTCACATCAAGACACGTTAATTTCTCAGAGGTTCACTTCTGCTGTCTTGAGATAACGAGATGTGAAGTGTTTACTTAAATTCAGACGGTTGATAAAATTCTTCAGGCTTTACAATCTTGGCTAAGTACTTGCTACACATCTGGCACTCAAACAAATGTCACTGGGAATTTGCAAAACTCGTTTTTTTCTGTCCCTCCCATGGGCAAGTAGAGTGCCAGCTCTCTGCTTCCACTTGACAAAACTGTAAGTTTGGCCAAGTCAGTGGTTATAACAAGTTTCCTTGTGCAAGATAATGGGAACTTTTGGAAAGGTGCTTTTGTCTTCCCACTTTAAAGAAAAATGTTCAAGTACACTGTGGTACTTGAAGTCAACATCCATCGTAGGGAGTAGGTGCACACACATAATGCTGCTTCTTTTTTTATAATCCCCTTCTCAGTCCTACTTCCCTTCTACTCTCCTCAAAATCTGCTGTCCCTTTTTTTTTTCTTCTTATTTTTAGTTCTTAGTTTTGGTTTATGATATATGACGCTTACATTCCCTGTGAGTATTAGTACCTATACATGACACATATAAAATCATTTTACTTCTACGTCCTCCTGTTCCTTCTCTCAGCCTGTCTCCCAGACCCCTTCCCATTTGCAAAAAAAAAAAAAAAAAAAGCAGCCCTTTGTCTTTCTCTTTTACACTATATAATCTATTAGCCTATGTCTGATTTCTTCCACTTCACATTATATTTTCTAGGTACATCCAATTTCCTACAGATTTCTTGAGTCTATCCTTCTTCATAGCCCAGTACTATTCCATCGTGTATAGATCCTACAATTTTCTTATCCACTTATCTGTTGATGGGCATGGATTAGAGCTTACATACAGATGTGTTTCTTGTGTCAACCTAGTGTTCCATATTGGTAGAAAAGCTAATAATTATGAGTAGTATTTATTTAGTCAAACACGGTTGGAAGATACAAGTGGGGAATATTCTGTAAAAGCAGTCTATATCCATATGTACCAATATTTCATGAAGTATTTGCCATGTTCAGCCAGTGAAACTCATAGAATCTTTGACTTTTGAGATAATTTTATTTTTTTTATTTATTTTTTTTATTATTTTTTTTTAACTTTTAGATTTTTATTAGTTCTCTCTGAAGAATCAAAATAGTTATTAGCAAATTATTTTAGATTCATGAAGACTGTATATTCTATGTGTTTAGGTCTTTAGTTATATACAACATAATACAAAACAAACTGATTTCTATGCCTAGGTATGTTACTCGTGTTGTGTCATCCTAAAGCAAGGCTGGAAGAGACTGTTCAGAGAACCGGTTGGTTGTGGGTGGCTGGCTAAGGCGTGGCCTGCTTTCTCACCCATTCAGTTGTGCTGGGAAGGGGCCAATGATTACTCCAACTGGCAATGGTTTCCTAAAGCAGGGGCTCTGAAGCCCTGGGCAGCAAAGGATTGTGGTCAAAACCACGGTGAAAGAAACAGGCTGAACAAGAAAGCATGGTGACTGCCTGCCAGAAGAGGCAAACTCAGCCCCATGGGAAAAGTGCATTCTCTGTACCTCACAGACATTGCAGAACCAGTGTTAACACTAAGACTTTGTTAAAAGGTGAGGATGAACAGAACCCTGAAAGAACCTTTCACTTGCACTTGGACCTAAGTCCACCAGTGCAGGCAGATGGGGCAGCTTCTAGCCCCACAGCAGCACTGAATCTGCCCCTCCTTTTCCTTCTCCATCCTTCTTGGTAGCCAAAGCCAGGTTCTGGCTGAGGTTGCAGAGACCCCAGAAAGACCTACTTAGTCTATCTGGAGGGCCAAAGTGGGAAGGACACTTCTCAAAATACAAATAAATTTAATATGGAAGGAGCAAGGACCAATCTGGGGCACTCACATGCCCAAATCTTCCCCACTTTCTCCAGCTCAAGACCTAGGCTCATAGAGACTGGCAAGCGCAGTCTCCACATCTGACCTAACCCCCAAAAGAAAATCTAGAAGTGTGCCCCTTCTCTTTCCCCACAGGTGGGCTCTCCAGGGCCTCCTGGGGGTGGTGGTTCCGTGGCAGGGCCGAGGCAGGGCCTGGTCTCAGCTGGCTCCAGCTCGAGCCATGAGGTCTTCCAAAGCATTGTCCTGGTCATTGTTGTGTAATAGCAAGGCTTCCTTAATGTCTTTCAATTCAAACCCCATTTCCTTAAATTTGCTCATTAACTGAAGAAACTCCATCATCTTTTCTTCTGAACACTGGTGCATTTCGAGAGCCTCTTCCACTAAAAGGGGGTCGAAGCCCTTCTCACAAAGCTGTCCATGTGCAAAGAGATAGTCAAGAATCTGCTCGATATTCTCTCCTTTCTTCTTCATGGCTCGCAGGACACATTCATATGAATAGCCCATGCTGACCACTGTCTCCACACACTGCCGCTCACTGGGGGACAGTGTTTGCAGTTCAGAATAGGCCTGTGGACAGCTCGGTATGTTGGGCACTTGTGACATTGAGAAATTCGGAGGGAGGACCTGTACTTCTCTGACAACCTGCAAACAATCAGGCAAGGAGAAGCCAATAGGTAGACCAACTTTAGCTGGTGTTTTGAATTTGTCTCCTATCTTAAATGGGACATCATCAAGGTAACTGAAAGTCCCATGAAAATCTGCACCCAACTTTTTAGAAGCCATTTAGAACCTGTAATTCCAGCGCTGGGGAGACTGAGACAGGAGGATCACTACGAGTCCGAGATGCATAGCGAGACCCTGAACGGCGCTACCGCCCCCAAAGCCGAAAGGTCCTGGCGACGGCTGGCCTCCCAGGCTCGGTCCTCGCTGAGCTTCCGACGCCCCTAGGAAAAGTGAAGGCCACCACCCCCTACTCTATCCACCCCGGGCCGGGCCGTCACCGTAGCCACCGCCAATACCGCAGCCGCCATGTTGAAGTCCTACTTCCCTCCTCGATAATTTTAAATTATAAAACTTACAGGTAGGGATGATCATCAAAGTAAAATTCGTGCCTGGCAGCCTACTTAAGTAGTTGTTTTAGTATTGTTGAGTAAACATTGTGATTACCAGGGTGATGTGTGCAAAAGCTCACATTCTCAATATAAGGTAGAATTGACTAAGTGTATGCAAAAGAAAAAAATAGGATAAATGGTCAGCTTTTCATTTTTTATTACAAATAGTAATGAGACAGTTTCAGAACAGGTTAGTAGGACAGTTACAATAATTAATACATTGTGTATTGTTGTTTTCATAGAGGTTATTCATAGCACAAGATGCAGACATGACATCCTGTCCACAAACACTGTTACTACAAATCTTTCTATTCACTGAATTAAGAGAAAGTAGCTATTTTTGTATTTACAGATGCAAAATGGTCCTTCATTTGTATCACCTTTTTTGTTTAGTTTTGTCAGAGATGGGTATTCCATTGTCATTTAAATATAGTAGGTGTGTGAATTCAGCAAAATAATCCAATATAGTTCAATAGTCCATAATAGTAATGGGTTATCTGCATGACTGGCAATGTCAGAAGTTGCTGACTTGAGCCTTTTATACCTCAGCAGAGTAATATGTCTTTACTTTTTCAACTTGAATCACAGCTAGTTAAGGAATAGAAATCATTTCTACAAAGGGTTGTGTTTTTTTTTTTATTTTTTCTCTCTTTGGCCTTCTTTCATTGGGGATGAGCAGTATCATAAAATCTAACATGAATTTGGAGTTGGAGGGCATCCATAGCATAATCCAGTCTGAGTACATTAGAGTGTTGCTTTTCCAGAATGGCTATCCAGTAAATTTTTGTTCCCAAGTCAGTGCTCTTCTCTGGCCACAGACTTCACCATAATGGGGAAAATGAAAGTGCCAAATGACTGTAGATTTGTTGGCCCTTTCCTTTCCTTTCCTTTCCTTTCCTTTCCTTTCCTTTCCTTTCCTTTCCTTTCCTTTCCTTTCCTTTCCTCTCCTCTCCTCTCCTCTCCTCTCCTCT